AGGTTAATTTAGGTTTCTTTCGATTTCTTTTTTGGTAGTTACATGGTCAGTTGAATTGACCGATCCCATTTTGAGATATGGTAAAGAAAATAACAGATAAACTATATAGTTTTACTAAAAAAAAACGTTTGAAATGCATTTAGGAGGTTTTGTGGATTACACAAAGGAAATTTGAGATATTTGAGATGAGAAAAGTATTCTTAATTTTAACATGAAAATTACTTTGCACATGGACTATTCAAAACAAATACTCAATATATTCATAGACAAATCTTTATTTTATTAAAAATACTTAACTAAAAAATATGATTTTTTGTATGTGAAAGACTTGTAATGTTAACTGAAAGACTGCCAAATTTTGTTAAAATATATACACTATATTGAGAGTTATAAGTATTAAATCTATAAAGACGATTACATAATGGTCACGTGGTCAGTCAAATTAACGGAGCCCATATATAAAATGTTAATAAGTATAGACCTGAAGACATCGCTCTTTGAACAGCAAGAAGTTTTAGAACACTGATTAGGGAAGCCTTGTTATCCATCCATAGGCTCTGGAATTCCTGATCATTGAGATATGCACCGCATCCCTGAAGAGATGGATCTCTGGGCAAAATGGCGGCAGAGGAACATCCATCGTAGTATTGTTCCAATCTAACCACCACTTGATATCGAAGAAAATGGGGGAATCCAGTGGATTTCTGTTCATGATCCATTAGTCATGTATAGACTACTGAAGGGATCTCATGTGTGCTTGTCCCAAAGAAATGAGGGATTTAAGTGATGCACATATCCCCCAAAAAGAAAGAACTATCTGCAATGTGGAAGAAGGAGAGGTGAATAAGAGTTGGACTGCCTGTTCCACAGCATGGAGTTGGGTGGGAGTTGGCTGAGTCTGACTAAGATACATGTTGAAAAAGACACCTAGATGGATGATATATTGTGCTGGAGTAAGAATAGATTTCTCGGCTCTGCTAATAAAGCCTGCCTTGGTAGCTTCTGAAAGTAAAATCTGGGTGTGATGTACCTCTAACTGACAAGATGGTGTGAGCAGTAACCAGTCGTCATGTGATTGTGTGTGCACAAGGGTAGGGAACTGAGGTGACGAGAAAAAGCTAGTACGATTTGGCAGAACACATATGGTGTCGATGCTAGTCTGAAAGGCAGAGCCCTCAACTGCAGCACCTGACCCTTTTGCACAAAATGCAAATAGTGGTGGGACAACTCTGGTATGGGAAAGTGCAATTAGGAGTCAGCAACATCAAACTTGGTCCTCCACAGTCCTGTTAAAAAATTACAATGCAGAGTGAGGAATGACTCCATCGTGATCCTTGAAGGATTGAGGAATTGATTTATATGAGAAAGATCAATGATCAGATGTCAAACTTCTGTGTTCTTGAGCACAACAAACAGACAGAAATAAAACCCTGTAAGAACTGGGATAACTCTCTCCACTTCTCCCTTGACCAACAGATCTCTCATAGCCCTGGAACGAAGTTCCGAAATCTGAGGATCTGCGAAGGGTGGAAACACTATAGGTTGGATGTATAATGGTGCTGATGATATGAACTGAATAACTAATCCTGATGCAAGGACCTGTAGTACCCATTGATCCATGATCAAGGTTTTCCACACATCCAGAAATTCTCAGAGTCAAGCCCCCACAGACCCAAAAAGGATACAGTATTCACTGCTTCCACTGGTGGCATTTCAACCGAGTATAGAAACTTCATAGATATGGACAAGATCTATTCTGGATACCAATAGACTGAGGGGCTGGTGTTGGGACATTCAAATAGGGGGGTACTATGACCCCCTGTAAGAGCCAAAGAAAGTGGAGAAACCAACTATAACAGGGATGAATGCAGATGGGCGACATCAACCCTAGATTCCAAAAACTCTGGAATGCCTGCAAAAGTCAACATAACTCACGGAGGGCAGCAGCCAGTAGACAATCACCCTCCAAGAGCGTATCTCTACCCCACAAATCCTGACAACATACCAGTCAAGATACTAGTGAAAATGCAGAAGTTGGCAATCAAACCAACGTACATGCTAACAATGGTCCGAATTCATCATCAAATTGATGTGGAATCACCGAGAGGCTTCTGACAAAGATTGGAGGACTGGTAAAAATCTTAGCACTGTAGTTAGAGTTACACAAATCCTAAAAGATCATGATTTATTCAGGTTGACCACAGACGGTTCTGGAACCTCAAATTTTTCTTTAAGAGTGGCAGACAAAGCATAGCTGTCCCTTCATGTAACTGAACAGTAAACCTCCCTACATGAACCTCACTATTAGGGAATGGAGGGAAAAATAAGTATTTGCCCTCAGATCTTTCCACCATCAATGAAGGTGCAGACTCAAAAGCAACCAGGGAAAGAGCCAAAACATCACACACTCAACTTACCAACTGAAGAAAAGAAGATGGAGGTGGCCGATGCCAATTAATCCTCCTGAGAAGTTGACAGAATAAAGAGAGGTGCTAGAAAAAGTGAATCTAAATTCTCTCCAGAATGTCCAGGATTGCCTGCAAGTGCAGCCTCAGAGCCCCCTGGAAAAACACCACCAGACCAAATATGTGTCTCCATCTCACTACAAATAATGTCATGGATAGTCTGAACTGGGAGTGACCACCATTCCCCAACAGTTGAGTGACACTACATATCAGAGGTAGGATAGGAGAGATCTGATTTGCCTCTGTGCCGAAAACAATAATCCAGGAATTCATGCCATATATCAGCTTGCCAAACTAATTTTTTCAAGTATAAAAATCAAATAGGTAACATGACAAAGAATGCTCAAAGTGTCTCCAACAGTCATAGTACAGAAAAACCCATTAGTGACCGCTTTGTTGAGAAAAAGTGATAATATTATCGGAATGAGGTGCTATTATACAATACCAGGATACAGGGGCATTGACATAGGTTGTGAGTGTCACAAGACAGATATCACCAAGGGCAATTAAATGGGGAATAGAAAACTGGAGCAAGTGAGAAAAAATCAGACCAATGCTTTGATTGGCAAAGGAAGAAAACCCATCGCAGTCAAGTAATAGATGTAGTTTGAGAAAAGGTATGTTTTTGAATAAACATCGAAGACTGGTAAAGTCCAAATACTGTCCATATGACAAGGAGTTTCTTAGTGGCAACAGACAGAGTTATGAATTTAGAAAGAGCTGTTGACAAAGAGTCTGTGTCAACCTGACTTTGTAGAATGAAGTGTTGGTTGTGATTTTTACACAAAAAATAAAAATATTTTTGTGTGTAGTTTTATGTATTAAGCTTAGAACTCAAAATGTTGCACAAATCCAAGATTTAAAATATAAAATAATAAGGCTACCCAAATCTTGTTAGGTTGTGCCAAAGAATTTTTTTTTAAGATTAAATGTATAATAAATAAGGTTTGTCTTTTTAAATACATTTATTGCTTTATCTTGTCAATGGATTTCACATAAGCTAGAAAACTGGATAATGTGATTATCAATAAAAACCAAAATCTACTAACAGTGAAACACATAAACAACATGCACACACATATCTTGCATTTGTTTTAAAGTGAAATTCACTGTGTTCTTCACTGTTTGGTCTTCACCTGGTTTATTGAGCCAGTGGAATACAAACCTTACTTAAATATTATATTTGTAAGTCCAGATCTTAACTAGAAATACCTGTAACCTAAGCTTTTATATAAAACTACAATCTCAAGAGTAGTCTTACATAATATAATTGTTTGTACATCATATACAAAATAACAAACTTGTCATAATCTCACATTAAATTAATTTTTGTGATAAACAGAAATGTTTTAAGCCCAGTTACAATAAGTGTAGGCTTAACTATAAGAAAAAATATTTTAAATCAGCATTAATTTCATGTTGCTAGGAAAACATGCATGTATGTATGTATGTATGTATGTATGTATGTATGTGTACACACACACTTACTGCACAATCTCCTACTGATCTGTCTAGGTCATGATATACACAGCTTATATAACAAATAAACTAACGTGGAAAATGAAAACAAAATAAGAAAATAAATGATTATTTCAAACATAAATATGCATCAGAAGACATTCAAAAATTGAATATTTCCAAAGCCATAATGAAGCCAAATTATTAATGAAACAAGATTTGACCATTAGATTTCAAAAATAAAATTAAAATCCAATAACACAATTATCACTTTTCCAAACAGTTTAAGTTATCATGAAGAAACAATATAAATTTTAACAAGAATGAAGTAAAGATTTTTTTCTCAATTGCAAAACGACAATCACCTGAAGATAAAATCACTGTCCGAAAGACAAAGGCTTAACTAACCAATAGAATGTTCTTGTAAGTCAATACAATTTTACACAATTAATACAATATTGTTGTTTTTCTGTTATCTGGAATATTTTTATCCAGAATGAAAATTTCCTAATGGCCAATAGGATGTTCTAGTGAATTAATATAACATTATAGAATTACAACTGCTTAATATAGCCTGAAATACGTAAATATTTCTAAGTTTGATGAGACTGTGGACTTGAACAGGTTTTAAAGTTTAATAATATCTTACAAATGTAAATGCTTTGATTCTAGATGTATAGACAAAAATGAGATGGTACCATTCTAATGAATGATTCTGGTACTACATTGTCTTTATGAGATACAAAGTAATGTGTACTCCGATACATGTAAATGATATGGATTCTACTTTGTCAAAAATAATTCAAAATTGAATATTTTAGTTAAAACAGACATTTTTGCTACTTATTAAATGTTAGAAAGTAGAAATGACTTACTATTCTCCATTTTAATATAACAGGAGATAATGGTTTAGTGATGGTAGACCAAAACTACTGCTTGCCCAGATATTTTAAACAAAATATCTGCTCCAGTCATTTTCAGTTAAGAAATTTTTTCAAGCTCTAAATAGCAGCTATATATTAATAGTTAAAAAACGTTAAGAAAATAAATGAATATCAAATTTTATAGTAATCTTACCAGTAAGCTTTCAACTCCTCTATATTTTTGGTTTGATACATTTTGAACAGGCCTGAAAATCTGAACAGTCAGCAAAACATCTGACAATATACCAAGTTTAACTTTACTAGATGTCTTCTTTGATTGGCTATTAGTTACTCCACCCAAGCACTGTGAAACAATAAAAAAATATGTTTATTATGATTATTAGTTTTATATATCTCATAAAGAAAAAGCTGCACTCCCTGATTAATTATATAAATAAGAATATTAACTTGTACATTTACAACAAAAATGTTACTTTTTATAACTATATTTTATGAGATATTTCTTGTGTATAATGTATGACTTCCAAAATGCATCTCCTTCTTATAACAAGATTTTCCAGGATAACCATATTCTTTTCCATTTAATTAACAGCACTTTAGCTTGTAAACTAGTTATAATGGGTAATAAAAAATTAAGAATACATTTCACACAATGGTACATTTTCAGGGTAGACAATAATTGTTGCATTTGTACTTGTAAAAGAATTTTTTAACATAAGGCCATTATACCCATCTAGACCATCCTATTTTATACTTCTGCCCATCTACAAACTATATATAAAACGAACTGGTATATTTAAGTGTTTTACACTCACAAAAAATAAACCTATTATTCTATAGGTAATTGAAGAACTTGTAGCATTCCACCACAATTTAATTCTTCGTATTGTTAGCCAACACTGGGCAGCTGTAGTATATAATTGAATATAGTTGTTTAAACATTTGTTTAACAACAAGTAAAAGCTTGGAATGATCTATTCTTTCATTGGAGGTGTGTGTCTGTGAGCCAGACTATTCATAAATTGTACAAATTTCACTATTGATCTTCATTTTTGAGAACTACAAATACATTATCACCATAATGATTTTAAACAAGCAGTTTGAACTCAGTTGGACAATTCCTCAGCCAACTATTCTGATACAACACATGAAAACATTAGCTATTACAGGCTCTAAGCTAGACCCTGATATTGACTCCATCAGTATGTCCATAAAATTCACCACTGAAGTGACAAACAGTTTTTCATAGCAAATTCCATCATTTGTATAAAATATTACCTACTAAGTCCATGAACACAAAAAAACATTCAACAACTAAATCTATTCAGGTTACTGAACTATGACATCCTCATGCTATGTGCAGGCTCATGCTCACAAATCTTGAAGAAGAAATTAAACACCATAATTAAAAGAGTCTATCTAGAAGATCACCTTCAATTTATTTTTAGATCTCATTCTGAGTTAAAGATTGAATCCATTTCTCTCAACAGTCACAGGTCATTTATGAATTCTGCTGCCCAATGTGTGAGAGCATCTACTCAGCTCCACTGTCAGAAGACTGGGGAATCATTTAAAAGAATATTCTAATCCTAGGTTTGAGGACAGCTCAAGCGATGGTCAACATGCACTAGGTGAATGAGATGCAATTCCATCCCCCTGTCAGGGTTTTATATATATATATATATGGGCTGGAATTCTTCTACAGTCGGTGTCTATAACTTGTTGGCCATATATTTGAACAATAAATGACAAGCACACAATTCACTTGTTTGAAAATAATATATTCAAAACAAGTCAAACATATGTACAAAAATTCTTTACACTATAGAATATCACAGTTGTATCTAAGGTTCTCTTTTCTTGTCAAAAGTTCACTCAGGCTGATTAAATTACTTTAAGTCCAATTGACAAGATTAACTATTTTTTCTCTACTTTGTTTCTTACTGTACAATCTGCGATAGATTCATTTATGTTACTCTGTGGGTTATCACAGTTATGTCTCAAACTTTAAATAATTGTCTACTTTTCATCAAATTCCACACAGATGAGTTCAATTGTTTTAGAACACCCTTTGACAAGACAAATTATTCTCCTTATCTCTATTAAACTGTGAAACTCACTTTAAGATATCACCCATTAAGTTTAATCACTCAACGATAGCTAACTTCATGTTTTCTAACTGAACTTCACATCATTTACACTCGCTTGGTCACCTATATTTATACGTTGCCCAACTGAGGCTTTGTACTTTCTATAAACTATGCAAATGATGCTATAACGTAACAATACTCACTTAAGGTAATGAAAAAAATATCAAAGATTCGGGTAACTTGGCATCAACAATACTACAACAATTGAACCACACACACAGCGTACAACTCTTATCGAGTTACGCAACCAAACTTGTCATAACTACCACCTTTAAAATAATTATTTTCAACTCTTGTTATGAAAAATGAATAATCATCACTTAATAAATTAAATAATAATGCTTACACTAAACACTTGTATATCCAACACCCCCCAAAATGCTCAAATTGATTGGGAGAGCTGAAAATGAGGCTATGCTACAGATGAAGATGCTTCTGATTCTTCAAAAGAAGCCAAGATTAAATAATAAACTAAATGTTATTGAACCTTTACTCACACTTTAGGTATTTGAATTTTATTTAAATTTTCACACTCTATTGTATAATATAATCCTGTTCAAATTATTACCAGCTAACACAGCATTGACTAGAAGGCTTTAGACACTTTGCAAAAGTTATGACCTAGATGTTTTCCTCATTAACTGTATCTAGTTTTTCCTACAAAGCTGCAAGGATAACTTGTGTTGGGATAAACCAGTATATATATATAACCTTTTAACATAACATTAAATAACAACAAGGGACCTTTTGGTACACCTAAGCCAGAGCTGGTGAACCTATGGCATGCAAGAAAATTTTCTTGGCATGCGGCATTCACTGCTTTCCCAAGTTGTTTTTTTTTTTACCTGACCAATATATATATATTAATTATAATATATAAAATTAATAATAACAACAATAATTTTGCTGCTCAAAATTCCCACGGGCACACGAAATAACTTCTCAGAAAATTATAAACAATTTGGGCACACTCTCTCAAAAAGGTTCACCAAACCTGACCCAAGCCATCCTATCCACTAAATTAAACACTAAAAAACTCAAAGTCAGCCCTTATTATTCAAATAATTATCAAGCTTTTCCTTAAACTCCCTTAAATTAACTGCATCTACCACAACAGATAGCAAACCATTCCAAAGGACAACTATCCTGATAGAAAAATAAAGCTGTCTTAACTGAAATTGACTCCTTCCCTGCCAAAACTTATGCCCCCTAATCTCACCCTCAAATATGAAAAAAAGATGATGCTTCAACACTATCGATTCCCTTAACAATCTTATACACTTAAATCAGATGCCCTCTAACTCTTCTCATCTCAAGAGAACACAAGATCAGTGATCTTAACCTATCTTCTTATGAAAACCTTTCCATACCATATATCAATTTCGTAGCCCTCCTCTGAACCCTTTCAAACAATTCAATAAATATTTAAGAAATATTCCTCACCTGAACAGTTGCTAGGTGAATACAAGATTGAACAAAATGATCCCATTAATTTTGAGCTTGTTAAGAAAAAATTTGGAAGTTTAAAGATTGAAAGAGCTTCTAGGCCAGATAGTATTTACTCAAATGATATACAAAAGTTAATATGTAAGGAAAAACAGGTTGGCTCATTGGATTAATGGAATCAGTTCAGTGGGAAAAGGAAGATTTTTGGAATGGTTGGTTTACCCTCTGCAAACTTTCAGCATCTTTAGTAGAATCTGAAATGACCGTTAATTAACCTAATGCCCTCTGCAAATGTAACCATTTTACTGGGTATTCCATTACTAATGTTAATAAAGAAAATAAGATATAGCAAAGTATGTGGCACAGAAGTTAAAGTACACCACTTATAACAATAATAATAATAACCTTCTGTCTTCTACCCACAATCAAGTCTAAATATAATCACTTTTCTTCTGCCCCCAACTGATACAATCTTCCTAAGAAGTCTCTTATGTGGCACTTTATTAAAAGCATTCTGAAAATCAATGTACACCAAATCCATTGGATTTCCAACATCTAGATTAAATATAAAAAATATTCAAAAAAATCAAATAAACAATCACACCATGACTTCTCTTTCTAAATCCAAGCTGTCTGTGATATTATGAAACTTGTCAAAATGCTCTTGTAGCATTTCTTTAATTATAAACTCTAGTTATTTACCAACCACTGAAGTAAGACTGTTAGGAAATCACTTAAGACACTGTCTGTCTTCCCCCTTAAAAATTATTGTGATATGGGCAAATCTACTTTCCCACATTTTGCCAATATTAATGGATTCATTAAAAATTAATGTTAATGACCTAAAAATATAACCTATCAAATATAATGAATTATATAGTTATTACCAAATAAAATAATAGAGTGACTGACCAAAGGTTCATATAACTTATGGAAAAGCAAAAACAATTATAAAATTTGATGAGTTATTTTTCTGAAAAAAAAAATGTCAACAAATGTTATATATAAATCAGGTTACAGTGCGACTGTAACCTTTAAGAATGATAAGGTAGTCATGTTCATTTTAAATTATGTGCAATGTTAAAACTCAGCAAATATTACATCAACCTCATAGAATATTGGGGGGGGGGGAAGCCTTGTTATTTGAAGATCTCAGGATGGGTTCCCATTATCACCAAACTTGCTTGTCCTATCTTTTTTTATAGTAAAGCTGTTAAGGTTATCTGCCATTTTCACTAATTTTGAACTGCTGATTAAAGGGAAGGAAACTGGCTGGCAGAACCCACAACAATTATTTTATTTGTACTTGTACAGCTTATAAACAAATCAGCTATGAGTAATCGAGAAACAGTAATCTTGGCTGTAATATACACCTGGAAAAAAGTTAAGCACCCCCAAATATTTTTCAGGATTGCTTATTGAAAATAAGGTTTAATTT